TGTGAAAAATCATCTAAATACGGACTTTTATGACTATGACTTTTTAGAACATAATATTGTTAAACTATCGCTAAAAATCGACAATTTACCTATAACCATTATATGTATATATAGATCGCCTTCGTCGGACTGTATAGGTTTCATTAATTTATTAAAATATGTTTTAAATAATTTAAATTTAAATTCAGGTGTAATTACCTTAATTGGGGACATGAATATTAACATAATTGGTGCACAAACAGTTAATAATTATGAGTACTTAGACCTTTTATCGGAAAGCGGTTTCTGTTCTTATATAAATATATTTACTAGATTATCAGTGGGTCAACAACATTCGTGTTTAGATCACGTGTTCATTAAAGATAATTATAATTCACCAGTGAATATAAATGCAGGTGTTCTACTAACTGATATAACTGACCATTGTTCAATTGTAGTAACAATTCCTATACCTGTGAAAGTTAAAAATAGTACTAATATTATCAATGTTATAAACTATGAAAAACTTAAACAAATTTTGTATAAAGAAAAATGGACTGGGGTATACGAATCCAACCCTTTAAATGTATGTGTTACTAATTTTCAAAATATAATTATGAAGGCCATTGATGAATCCATATCAACTAAAAATATAAACTCTAAAAATAGGAAATTGAAAGAATGGATGTCCAAAGGTCTTTTATGCTCAGTACGACACAAACAATACATTTCAATGAAGTGCAAAAAAAACCCAAACAATGATAAGCTTGCGTCATACTATAAAAAATACAAAAACATCTTCACAAATCTAATTAGGCTCGCTAAAATTAAATTTTACGAGGAAAATTTTAGAAAAGTGTCGTTTAATCCCAAGTTAACGTGGAAATTGATAAATGAGATTACTGGTGGCAATTTAAAAAATAATGATAAAATCAAAACTATAATAATGAATGATAATGTATTAAATATAGATGACAATCCAAAGGAAGCATCTAATATGTTCAATAAATATTTCATAGACGTTGGTAAAAGTTTAGCTAAAAAATTCAACATAACATCTAATCTAGTTTTAAATAAGTGCGATAATAATACTCTATGTTCTTTTGATAATATTTTCCTAGAGAAAATTGATGTGTCAGAGATAAGAATAATTATACAAAACTTAAAGGATGATACTGCAGCTGGTCATGATAAGGTAACAGTTAAAATGTTTAAAAGTATTTCTGAATTAATTATTGCTCCACTTGTCTATATTTATAATTTGAGTATACAAAATAGTATATTCCCGGATAACTTTAAAATTGCAATTATTAAGCCTCTATTTAAAGGTGGCGACCATAAAACCATAAGTAATTATAGACCAATATCAATGTTAACCAACTTTTCCAAAATATTTGAGAAGATAATCAAATTAAGGCTGATGTCTTACCTCGAGAAACATAACTTATTATCTAAAAAACCAATACGGATTTCGACCAGGCCTGAGCACTGAAAATGCCTTATATAATGCAACTCAATTTTTATATGATTCTTTGGACAAGGGTCTAAGAACGATTGCTGTTTTCATAGATATAGCTAAGGCTTTTGATACTATACAACATGATGTCCTACTACAAATTCTACCGAATTTTGGTATTAATAACAAAAGTCTCCTCTGGTTTAAGAGCTACCTCTCTAACAGACAACAAATGGTGAAATTAAATGAGGTTATTAGCAATTCCAGTTCTATCGAATATGGTGTACCGCAGGGTAGTGTTCTAGGTCCTATTTTGTTCATACTATACATTAATGCGGTCTGTGATTTAAATATTGATGGGAAAATAGTGACCTATGCCGATGATACCTGTCTGTTATTTTCGGAAAAATCTTGGGAAGGGGTATACCTCAAAGCAACAAAAGGTCTCAACTTAACGTATAAATGCATAAGTGAACTAGGTTTAACTATGAATAACGATAAAACAACGTATATGAAGTTATCTATAAATAAAATCTCAAATGATGAATTTCCTTTAATAATTCATAATTGCAAAAATCATTTGATATGCGATATGCAAAATTGTAAACAAATTAATCAAGTTTCAAAAATTCGTTATCTGGGTATTATTATCGATAATAATTTGAGGTGGAACTTCCATATTAATAATTTAATAGGGAAAGTTCGATATGCATTATACAAATTCGTTAAACTTAAAGATATCTTACCAGTACAAACTTTACGTATCATCTATTTTGCTTTCTATCAGTCTATCTGTCAATATGGCCTTTTAGTATGGGGAGGTGTCAAAGACAATTTTTTTAAATGTCTTCAAAATAATCAAAATAATATATTGAGAATAATATTAAATAAAAAATCTTTAGTAGGCTCAACAAAAATTAATTACATAAGTTTAGGTGTTCTTCCAATAAGATTTTTATACAAGAAATTTGCAATTCTATTTACGATTAAAAAATTAATTAATGACACTAACAACACACAGTTTTCACAGTTAATAGAACATAGAGCATATAATTTACCTGTTAAGTACACGAAAAAATCTTTTGGGCAATCTTTTGTTGACTACTTAGGACCAACCTACTTTAACCAAATGCCAACATTATACAAAAAAAAAATGCATGAAGGACGAATAAATGGGAAAAAATAGTCTATAAATGGCTATTCTCAGAATTAGTTATTCCTTAAATAAAAGTCCGTATCTTGGTGTACATTTTAATTTTCTTTCTTTTTTGTATTTAATGTTAATATAATTGTTTTTTAATTAATTAGGAATAATGATAATTTGAATTTCAGTTACTTTCTCTTCACATATTAATATTGTTTGTATAATTAATTGTATATTTTTTATTTGAATTTTAATTTATTTTTATCTCACCTATACTGTAAAACAATTTAACTGATCGGTCCCATGTACTTATATGCTTCTGTATTTTATTTTATTTTGTTTTTATCTATTTTATTGTTTGTTATTGTTGCTAAATGATCTATCCAATTACTTACCTAATTTTAATTTTAAGCAATCTTATATTATTACTATTGTTAACTCTCTACTCCATCACAAGCTTTAGCTTAAAGGAGTAGATATATTTCTTTATTTTATTTGTATAATTATATTATCTAAAAATAAAGATATTTTAAAAAAAAAAAAAAAAAAAAAAATAACATTTTAATACAATATGATACAAGAGTATATAAAGAAAAAAATAACATAAAGCAGGTATAATATAATAATTGGGTATCCCGGACAACCGTTCACCGTTTCTTTTTATAAGAGAAATTATGTGTGCTTGACACGGAATAGCGAAGTGGTAGAACGGTGGGTCGGACGCCCCGAGTGGCAAGGGGGGTCCACGGGAACACAGTGCTGGGATGACGTTAGGTTTTTACGTTTGTGAGTAACTTTACCAACTTGACTACTGGGCGTGTGATCACTCCGGCGCGCGTGAGAATTCGGGCGACTCTAACGTGACCATCGGCCCCAGGCAATAACTCAGTTACGCGGCCGAGGCGCCACAATAGCGGCGGACTCTGACTATCGATCACGACTACCATCTCATTTATATTCAAATTAGGGACACTCTCAATCCACTTAGACCTGCTTTGAAGAGTGGTCAAGTACTCGGACGACCAACGTCGCCAAAAGGAGCGGTGGCATTGGTCGATTAATTTCCATCTATCGGAAAGGGCGCGAGCCTCCTCGGGACCTGATCGCGGCGGCACGGCGAGTAATGGTTGGCCAATTAAGAAATGTCCCGGAGTCAGACACTCTAGGTCATGCGGATCGGTCGAAGCGGGTGTCAACGGGCGTGAGTTTAATATCGCTTCTATGCGGGTCAACACGGTAGTGAACTCTTCATAAGTGAACACGTGTGTCCCTATTACGCGAATCAATAGCCGTTTGGTCGATCGGACGGCAGCCTCCCACAAACCTCCAAAGTGTGGAGCGCTAGGAGGGTTAAAATGACAAATGCACATGGCACGACAATTAGCGATGGCACTCTGACCTTCAGGGCTCTGAATCAATTTGCGTAATTGTTTGTCGGCGCCTACAAAATTAGTGCCGCAATCCGAGTACACATCGGCTGGTAACCCGCGGCGAGCCACAAAACGGTCGAAAGAAGCTAAAAAGGCGTCGGTAGACAGTTCCGTCACCACCTCTAAATGCACCGCTTTGGTGGTAAAACAAATAAAAACGGCAATATAAATTTTATAGCTGCGGGATTTGCGTAATCGCGACTCCTTTAATGGTAGAGGGCCCGCATAATCTACGCCCACCTGATCGAACGGTCGTTGCGGCTGTATACGCGCGCGCGGTAAATCGGCCATAAACGGGTGTGTCGGTTTTGCATCAAATCTCACACACACAGTGCAATTTATCAGAACATTATGCAATACTGACCGGAGAGATATCACCCAATACTGACGCGCAATCATTGCAGTCAAAACACGCGGGCCCGCATGGCCCGTTAGTAAATGCCATCGGCGACACAACAACAACGCAAAATGCGATCATTTGGATAGCAGGACAGGGTGTTTGCAATCGTAGTGTAACAATGAGTGACGTAAGCGCCCACCCACGCGAATTACGCCGTCAGAATCTATGAACGGGGCTAACCGCGCAACCGGTTTCGAAGAGATGCGAATACCCGCCGCCAACTCCTGTACCAACTTAGGAAAATGTACGCGTTGCGATTCTGCAGCCAATGCGCGTGCGGCACTGTCTAATTCATTTTTTTGTAAAAATACGGGGCCGTTCGAATCAGAACTTGGTGATACCCCACTCCGCCTTAAGGTGACACTATGTTGACAAGCTTTTACAAAGCGCCGCATGTACGCAACTACACGCAACATGCGGTCAAAGTTGGAGAAACGTATGAACCACTCCTCTCCCTCGTCGTCGACACGCGTAGTACACGACACGACGCGTAATTCGGGTAACTCACACACAGGCAGCGATGGACGACACTCATCCCACTCCAACGGATCGGTGTATGCGATCGGGGGGCCGCGCCAATATAATTCTGCGCTATAACTGCGCTAGCGTCGCCGGCGTTACGCCACGAGATGCGCAATCCGCGGGATTCTCGGCTGACACAATGTGTTGCCAGGGACAATCAGGTAATAAAGAACGAATTTGATGGATCCAATTGGATACGTAAATTTTAAACGATTCGTGGGGGGCGGTTAACCATGACAGCACGATAGTAGAATCCGACCATGCCTGTAGACCGATAATGTCGAGTTGCGATGATAATATATTTTTAATGCGATTTAACCAACGGGCTAATAATACCGCGGCATTCAGCTCTAGACGTGGAACAGTCAATGACTTCGTCGGAGCTAATTTGGTCTTGGTACCAATTAGAAAAACGGATCGATTGATTTCAACGTTCAACATGCGTACATATACAACGACAGCATAACCGGTCTGCGACGCGTCGCAAAATCCTAACAGATAACAAGGCGCGCCACGGTATGCGTTAATATGTCGTGGTACACGAATATTTAATAGCGAAGGTAATTCTGAAACAAACGAAGTCCACTCCGCATGAATGTCGGCCGGTAGCGGGTCGTCCCACGCGATGCCGTGTCGCCACGTTCGCTGCATAATTGATTTTGCCAAAAATACGACGGGGCCAAAAAAACCTAACGGGTCGAAAATGCGCGCGACAAGAGACAAAATCCCGCGTTTCGTAAAGACGGGCGACGGTTCGAGACTTAGAGCACAACAGAAATAATCATCATCGGGGTGCCAAGCTAGGCCCAAAACTTTAGTGCCATAACCGTCGTCATCCCCGAACGTCATAGGTGCGCCCACGCAATCGGCGACCGGAACAGCTTGTAATACGGCTGGCGTGTTCGACGCCCACTTTTTTAATTCTAGCCCCGATTTACCCAAAACCAAAATTAGATCCGACTGAAGTTTCAATACGTCGGATATCGTATCTGCACCGTCACAAATATCGTCGACATATGTTTGATATTCGAGCGCGTTACGTACGCGGTCAAAACCGTCGCAATCGGTAGACGCGATTACTTTAAGAACTCGTAAGGCGAGATATGGGGCACAGTTTACGCCGTACGTGACGGTGTTCAATTCAAATTCACGTAATTCATTATGAGGCGAGGCGCGCCACAACACATGTTGGAACTCGCGATATTTGGGTAGAATTAAAATTTGCCGGTACATCTTACAGATGTCCGTCGTAAAAGTAAACTTGTGTACACGAAAGCGTGTTAGGACGTCCACAATGTCCTGCTGTAATTTAGGACCAGACCACAAACATTCATTCAACGACGGTCCGCGAAAACCTCGGGCAGATGCGTCGAATACAACTCGAATTTTATGCGGATCGACTTCCGAGCGATAGACGGCATGGTGCGGAATTATATATCGCCCCGGAGACGTTGCCACCGACATATGTCCCAAGGCGATATATTCGGACATAAAATTAATATACAATGATCTCAATAACGGGTTCGCGGACAGTTTTCGCTCGAGCGCATCAAAACGCCGCACGGCTATCTCGCGAGACCCTACTTGGGTTTCAGCCGATACGCGGAACGGTAACGGCACCGCGAAACGACCCGACGGCAGGCGCGTCATTTCATCATGAAATATCTGCTCGCAACATCCATCACTAGTGAACGTGCCGGGCGCCATTTCTGATTCCTCGACGTGCCAAAAACGCTCCATTATCCCCTCAATGGACGCGGTCATACAAATCGGAAATGACTGATACGAGTGATTAACTCGGTCAATGACCGGACCGATAAGAATCCAGCCAAACACCGAGCTAAAGGCTGCAGGTAATGTTTCGTCGATCGACACTTTTCGACCGTCCATGATAGACCCGTATATGTCCCCTCCCAATAACAGGTCGATCGGCGACGTCAGATGAAATGACGGATCCGCGAGTGCAAGATTAGAGAACCGGTCTTTTACAGACGCGGCGAATGGTTTTTGCGGTAAGTCGCTTGTTATAGTGGGCAACACCCATGCCTGAACAGGCAACACCGGATCGGACGCAAACCTCGGCTGTACTATGCATTCTACACGACCTTGGACTTCGGCGACTTTTGTCCCAGACAAACCGCTTATCGGCGCAGTCCAGCGCGACGGTTTTAATCCTAGTCGTTTAACACACGCGGCGGTGATTATACTGACTTGTGACGCGCTATCAACCAGCGCCCGCATTGTCAGCACCGAGCCGGACGTATCTCGCATATGCACAAGCGCGGTACCTAAAACAACGGCATTCGATGGATGGGGTGACGGGGGCCTCACAACGGATGCACACACAGATGAATTGACCTGTATCGGCGGTTCCTCCCCACCATCTCGCTCATCGGATGGCAAATGGAGAAGTGTATGATGTTTACGCGAACATTCTACACAATTTGGTTTCGCTTTACATTTCGGGACCCAGTGACCGACACTCAAACAATTGAAACATACACGATTCTCTCGCGCCCACCGCGTTCGGTCTCCGGCCGCCCAAGACTTAATCGCATACACGCGGTTAACGCATGTGAACCGGCACAACATGGACAATTCCCGTCTTCCTTAGCAGTTACAAATGACACCGGACGAGACCCTTTTGATTTCCCATAGTGATCTACACTCTTACGGACTGTGCTTATCGGCTTTCCCCCCTTAACTTGAACGACAGCGTTACCAATCTTTCCGGAGTCAGCGACGTTCTCCAATATAGACACGCGCGTGCGAACAAACTTTAATAATTCAACTATGGACGGATAATCAGCCGAATTACTTGACTCGAATAATTTACGCGTAACAACAGGCAAACACTTAAAAGCAATTGTAAATAAAATGAATGACCCCAAGTTCGGTACGTTTAATGCTTCCAACAGCGAAATACTTTCGTTTACCGTACCTACAAAATTGTTAAGGTCTTGTAACGACTCTTGCGACATGTTCGGCGTGCTTAATAATCGATCAAGTAACGACGTGGCGACTAATCGTGGTCGATAAAATCGCTCGGACAAGAGAGACAATGCGAGATTATAATTTTCCCCAGTCACCGGAACACCACGTATCGCGTCGGCCGCTTCACCCGTAAGACACCCGATTAAGTAGTACATTTTATCTAAGTTAGATAGCATGGGCCGCGCGTCCACTTGTTCTTTAAATCTATCACGGAACGTGGGCCACAGACGGAAATCTCCGTCGAACTTGGGGAGCGGAATTTCCGGCAGTCGTGACAACGGATTTTGATAATTTTCCTGAGGAAAGTCAGTCGATCCTAACCTAGTCTGAAGGTACGACATATCGATTGCCTCAACGCCCTTGGGTATTAACTTCGCCGCCGCGACCTTGCACTCACTAATACATTTACGTATTTCAGCTGTCAACCCGACATCACTCGTGGATAGTCTATCTAAATCGGTTAAACCGTTCATCACCGCATCATCTTCAAATCTAAATTGCGTCCACAACGAATTCCAAATCGGCAGTTAATGGTACGGTCGGACCCAAGTCGGTTCTACAACCGTAGTGCTAAACTATGCACGGCCTAATCTTCCAGCGCTTTCATTCGAACGCCTGAGTTTTACAGCCTAAACGCCGAGCACCACGCACACCATCAGTATCAGTCGCTGCCGCCAAAATAGACAGCAATTGCCATACCACGCCATTTCGTGAGACTAAATGCCTTATAAACACTGACGTTTAACCCAGCACTGTGTGACCACGTGAGTCACGCCAATAACCCAACAGCACGCAACACCTACCGAACCAACACAAAAACGCTGCTGAACCTTATAATGGAACACGCCTGCTAATAAAATGTTCGCGTTGCCGTTACTTATTCTGCGGTTAGCGGCAACGACTCGCGTTTAGTGAGGACGGAAGGTTAATAAGTACTTCAATTTATTATATATAATTGATAGGTACCAACAACAATATATTATAATAATATAAACATCAATTGGGCGCCCTAGATTATACAGTAGATATAAGTATAATAATAACAGTAGAAATAATAATAATTAATAATAGTTTAAGAAACGGCCGCACACCTCGAATCAATTATATGTATATAAAATATGTTTGGTACTGTACTAATAGGTGTAAAAAAACTTATAGACTGGTGGCAACAGCAAACAGGATCCTCGAACAATGTGTTAATATTTCCACCTCGTGAACCACCGAGGTTTGAATAAACTTATAAGATGTAGAATTGGTGAGCCAACGCAACGATGCATTCGACTCGACCGTTGGGAAAAGACAAAAGGCTCAGAATAATATGACAAGTTGTCGGCCGACAAGTTCGCGGTCTGGTCTCCAGACGTAGAGGGAGTTTGCTGGACTTATCTTATCTAGTCGTCACATTTGTAGAGTCCCAGCAAAAACTTATTAGGCGGTAATTGTTCCGCGTTCGAACATACATATTTATTATTTATAAATTTTTACTTATGGGGATCTGCAAAATTCTGCACACAGGGAATACACTATATACATATAATAAATATGGGTCGACAGCCTATATTAATTGTACACTGACCTGCATTTTATTTACGTATTTATATAAGTACACATTTATTAAAAATATAATTAAAATAGGTACTTTATTTTCATTCTATTGGTTATTTAGACACCTAATATGGCAGATAAAGGGAAAAAACGTGAGCGGTTGTCGGGTTCACAATACCTCAAGAAAAGATTAGCGCGTGAAGCCGATTTAATGAAGCAAAAAAATTGTTTATTAAAATTTATTACATCAAATCAACCAGAAAAAGACGATCAGAATGAAAACCAAAATAAAGGTGAAGATATTATTAATGATCAAAATATTGGTATGGAGGACGAAAAAGACGAAGAAAATTGTAATGACAGAGAAGAAAATTATGGCACTGAAAATAATGAAGGTCAAGACATTAGTATGGAAGATATAGATAGTAGTAAAAATAAAGTCGATAGTGAGGATCATTTTGGAGTTGTAAATAATGAAGGTATAGATATGAAATATATCAATGTCGTTACTAATGGTGATATTGGTGATAATCTTAACAAAAATTCAACTGATTTTAAATTGATGGATGATCCTAACAAGTGGCCAATGATTGATGACAATTTAAGACTCTACTTAATACAATGTGAACCTAAGCAAATAAATATGAAAAAATACCCTACTAACGATAGTGGTAGATCATTTTCAACATTTCATTATTATAGACGTTTGCCTAATGGTGAATGTATAAAACGTACTTGGCTCATTTATTCAAAATCAAGCGATTCGGTATATTGTTTTTGTTGCAAGTTATTTAATAACAGAATGGTTTCTCTTGCAACAATTGGTAACAATGATTGGAAAAATATGTCAAGTATATTGAACAGACATGAAATGTCACCTATACATAAAAAATTATACGAAGATTGGAAAGAATTAGAAGCAAGATTTAAATGTGGAAAAACTATAGATGACATAAATCAATCAAGTATAAGAATTGAAACTGAATATTGGAAAAATATATTAAAACGAATAATAGCCTTGATACTAACAATCAGTAAACAGAATTTGGCTTTAAGAGGAAAGTCAGATACACTTAACACACATGATAACGGAAACTTTCTAAAATTTATTGAATTTTTATCAATGTTTGATCCCATTATGAAAGAACATGTAAGGAGAATATCATCAGAAGAAATTCATTGTCATTATTTAGGAAAAAATATACAAAATGAAGTTATTCGATTACTAGCCGATAAAATAAAATCTCATATATTAAATGAGCTTAAAAATTCGAAATATTATTCTATAATTTTAGATTGCACGCCAGATTTAAGTAATATTGAGCAAATGACTGTAATAGTCAGGTTTGTAACGGCTATTGAAGCAACCACAAGTAAAAAAGAATACGTTTCTATAAATGAACATTTTATTGATTTTATAGAATTACATAGCACTACCGGTTTAAATATGACAGAAGTTATTCTTCAAAAACTTAAAGAAATGGATATTCCTATTAGTGATATGAGAGGTCAAGGTTATGACAATGGTGCTAATATGCGCGGACATAAGAGTGGTGTTCAAGTAAGAATTCGAGATCTAAATTCAAGAGCTTTCTATGTGCCGTGTAATGCACATTCTTTAAATTTGGTATTGAATGATTCGGCCAGTTGTTGTTTAGAAGCTGTTTTATTTTTTGATACAATACAAGAGACTTACGTATTTTTTTCAGCATCAACACAGCGTTGGGGTATACTTCTAGAACATGTTAAAAACTTAACTATTAAACCGTTAAGTCAAACACGATGGTCCAGTAGAGTTGATGCTATTAGAGCTATGCGATTTCAAGTTGGTGAGATTTATGATGCTTTAAAATATATAATAGATGACACCTCACTCATTGGTGAAACTGGAGTTCGAAGTCGTGCTGAAGCTAAAGGTATAGCTTTGAAATTAAAAAGCTTTAAATTTTTATGTTCTTTAGTAATTTGGTATGAATTGTTATATGAAATAAATATATCTAGTAAATTGTTACAAACAATATCATTAGATATTTCAAAAACGATTTATCAATTGAACAAAACATTTTACTTTAAATATTTTAAATGTATATGTATATTTTATGTATATATTTTTATCTAATAAATCCACCTACTATTATGTAATATATTATACACTATAAATGTTTTACTTGAGTTCTAATTAAAAAAAAAAAAACAAAAACTTGTCTCCTATTTATTTGGAAGAAAAACGATTAGTATACAGGGACGGCAAAATTAAGTTTTGCCTACGTATAAAAAATCACTAGAGCCGGCCCTGGGAGAGAAAAACGGGCGACGTCCGTCTCCGCGACGGACGCGGCCGAGGACCGAATCCGAATGAAAAACGCGCGCGGACGGGACGAAAAAACCCGCTCTCGGCCGTAGTGTCGAGAACGCGACGGAAAGAAGTCTCCGAAAGCCGGAAAAGCGGAAAAACGATATAACAAAAACAAAGAATAACGACGGCGGCGGGAGATAACGATAACGATAACGGCGCGCGCGAGAGATATCAGATAAGAAAGACGATAAGAAAAAATTTTAATTTTCCGATTGGCCAGTACACTAAACTAGAGCACTCTGTCGAAAAAACCCAGGAAGCTCGTTTTGGTATTATATTATAAGACTAGCACCGGTGAAACTCGCTGTAAGTGAATACCCTAGGTCGGTGAAACTCGCTATATGTGAATACCCTAGGTCGGTGAAACTCGCTGTATGTGAGTACCCTAGGTAGCTGAATATCGTTTGAAGTGAATTTCCTAGGTAGGTGACAGGACTTAAGAATACAGCAGTTAGAAAAGTCTAGTATTTTTTTTTTTTTTTTTTTTTTTTTTTTTTTTTTTTTTTTCTGATTTGGTGGCTCTACACTTTGGCGGTGTCGTTTTAAACGCGTAAATAATAAAAGTCTAATTCGAGCGTCTAGTGGTCGGTCATTTCATTAAATTCACAGGTGTAACACACCTTGTCCCGTAGCTTGCCCTGTGCTTTTGTGTATGGAGAAAATGAATAAATACATTAGGAAAACGGCAATTGAGTGTCTAGGTATCAGTCATCTCCAAGGTTGTTTGGGCAATTGGATGCATTTCCCGTGGTTTGCCCGGTACTTTTCACATATATTTAAAATAAACTCCGACTCCGAAAACGGTATTGAGGGTCTAGCTATCAGTCATCACCTGGTGTATGTTACATATTTTAACGCCAAAAGTGGTGTGCAGTCCGGTACGTAAAAAAGTATATGTCAGTTATCATCAATAAAAATTCAGATAAACGCATTTAAACCTGCCAGACAGGCAATCCGACCGCGTACAATGTTGGCGTAAAGGGGAAGTTGTACATGTATTAAGTATACAACGGGATAAATGCATTATAGGAAAGAAGAAGACATGCCAAACGTTAGAAAGGTGTGTATATATTATATATATTATAGGTATATATACCTACACACGTAATTTTGCAATTATCATTGCTGTATATATGTATACATTTCTAATATGTAGTGAGTAAAGTATGTAGTGAGTAAAGTGTGTTCATAAAATTCACCTCGAGTCCAAGTTGTTATTGTCATTATTTTTTAATCACAGTACTTAGCTACATTAATATTTATTCAAAGACTTCTGAGTATCAAAAAACAATGATATTAGATTCCTATCAATCACATTAATATATAATTGTTTATATGTTAAAAAAAAAAAAAAATAGTAAAAATAAAAACAAAATTATATTGTATTGTAATTGTATATAATATATTTATTGTGATATATTATCATATTTATATTCTTTCTTTGATATACATTTTGAATACCATGTTCAGCGTACACAATTGAAATTAATGAAAGCGTATGTATTGTAAAAAATGAATTGACCAACGAAGAACCGCATACATGCATGATTAATCTTTAGTAAAGCAATAACAAACAAATAATAATTAAAAGTTATAAAAGATGTATATATGTATGTGTAAAATATAAATCTGAAATACAATTATTAATGTAATATTCACAAATTAAAAATATTCACAAATTAAATGTTGTAAAAATAGTGTTAAGTTAAATACAAATGTTGTGTGTTTATTAGAAAAAAACTGATTATAATATAAAAAATAATTAAAATTTATGTTTTTTTATTAAAATTATTATTGAAATTAATAGTGTTTAATGAATTTGTTTATATTTAAAAAAAAAATGATAGTTTCACATTAGTTACAAAAAATTTGCTACAAAGTTAATTTGCATCCAGAGTGAACCACATGGAGTTTATTGAAGTTTCTCGTTGTCAATGTATTTACAGTCCATATACACTCTGTATTTGATTTTTTTTTTTTTTTGAATCAAAACTTTACGTATCAAGTGACTTGTTCATTGGCAGTGAGACACATTAATTAATTGTTGAACATACAAAAGTTATTATTTATTAACACACACATGATTCATTAAACTGATATGTGTGAGATGAAATCTGAAACATAAAGTAAAATAAAAAAATTACCAAAAATACAAATAAAAACAAAATCTACTGCAGTAGTAAGTGTACTTACAATAGTTGCAATTGTATGCGTAAGATAAAAAACTGAAAAATAAAATGATAAAGAATTATATTACTAATATATATAATATTATATTATAATAAAAAAAAATAGAAAGTTTAATAATATTTATTGATTGGTTGTTTGACATTAGTTACAAATTATCTCCAAAGTTAATTTGCATCCAAAGAGAACCACGTGGAGGTTGTCAAACTCTCTCTCCGTCATTGAATTGGCTGTCCATAGGTGACCTGTAATCAATCATCAATACATATATCAAAACATAAATAAATAATGTAAAAGAAGAACTTTACATAGATCAGACAGTGGTCACATAGGTTTACCATGGATCACAAAGATCTGACATGGATCACAAAGATCTGACATGGATCACAAAGATCTGACATGGATCACATAGATCTGACATGGTAAACCACACTGTCGAAACAATATCATTTCATAAATAAATATATTGCTGTTCCAGAAGAAATAATATATCTCCTATTATT